CATTCTGTGATTCTATATGATTTTAGCATAGGAACAAAAATACAGACTGCTCAATTTTTCAGTGTGTCTCAGTGGATTGTCCTGGCAGATATCTGGAATTTTTATGGCTGTAAATAGTCATTTACTGAACCACAGTGTTTGCTTTACTTTTCCCTTATGTTACAGAACAGTAAAGTTCCCAAAGTATGGTGTGGTTGGAAAGCAATCTAGGGATGCCAGGATATCTTGAATATACCATTAGAACCATTAGAATATACCATCTAGAGCACATTAGATCAACAGTGCTTTGAAAACATAAAGAAGTCAACTGAACAACAGTTTCCATAGAAAAATTCTTCACTCAGGTTTGACAGTGTTCCTCATTTTTTTTAACAAATCTCAAACTGTTCTGCTGGAAGCAGCCAGGCATTCTTGGGTCCTATCAAACTGATACTAACCTTTCATTAAGATCCAAAAGCAAAGGCCAGTCAGAATATTTCTTTCTTTCTCCCACCCAGTTAAATCACCGTTTTACAGTGCGTCGGCCAAGATGCTCGCATCTCTTTGTTCACGTAAATGTACAGCCAGGAAACAAAGGGGAAGAGGGCAACCAGGATTGCAGCAATCAAGTGAACCCCACCCAGTGGACTCCTATAAAGAAGCAAATGCAACAGAGCTACTTCAAATCAGACTGCTAGGAAACATTCACACCTGGCTGCAGTTGGAAATACAACAGCCTTTGGCCACTTTAATGAAGCTCCTGTGGATGGATTAGCAGAGTCCTTTACAAGAGAGGCACCACATGCCAGCAGAAAAAATTGTTCTGCCACCTCAGGCTACATAAACCAGGTTAAAAAAACTCCATCCTGATTGCCCAGAGCATGTGCCATATGTTTTCCCTGCACAAAGGTACTGTTTGGCACACTGAGATTTTTCACGTTCCCAGCTAAAAGTATTTTAGCAAAAGCACTGTAGTACAGTCCTCTGTAGAGGCTGGAGGGGAGAAGCGTGGAGTCACTGCAGACAGGCACCCACCCAGAGCCTTCTGCCAGCTCCGAGTGCATCACCCACCTCCTCCAGTGGACACAGCAGACACCAGTACAGGGACCCCACTGGAACGTTCTGTAACTTGGAAGCAATGGCAGAAATGGCTTTGCCGTTCATTGGCATTTGTGGACAACACTCACTCACTGTGCCCGCAGAGGCACTCACTTTCCTCATGCAAAGGGAAAATGTCCCCTGCCTATTGCAGCAGGGGAAGCAGAAAAAAGTTTCATGTAGATTTACTTTTCTCCCTCCCCACCCCCGACTTTTATCTGTGCAAGATCCTGCAGACTGTAGCACCCAGCTAGTATTGCTTAGGTGTCTGAGGAAGTTCAGACAGTGACTTGAAGAAGAAAAACAAGCAGCCAAAATCAACTGTGTTTTCAAGAAGCTATTTGCAAAACGTGAACATAGCAATGGATTCAAAAAAAAATTAAACAAAACTTACTTTGCCGAACTGCGACAAAGACTCATCCATATTGTAATAATCACCAGACCAAACAACTCTCTAAAAAGACAAACAAAAATCAGATCAGAAGATAATACAGGTAGATGTTTACTTTAAAAAAATTACAAATTTTGCCTTGAAAACAGTAGTGTCTGCTCCTTTGGAGAAGTTCAATATATTCTACAAGAATTATAATTAAAGGTATTTACACATAGTAACTTGGCTTCCCACCACAGATCTGCAAACACACCTAACCTAGCTGTGCAGCTGCAGAAATTCCTGCTTCCGCTTTTTGTTCTGCTGCTAAATTTATATTCCACAGCACTTTTCCATCATTAACACAGACCAAAGCAGCATCCCAGTGTTCCAGACCATAAACAGCAGCAGTAGCTGCTAGTGCTTCACCTCAGTACTGTGCAAGCACCTACTTTAGGCAACAACTGAATTTCCAGGTAAGAAATACTCCCTTCCCCTCCATCCCAGCCAGTTCCAAGGACTCAAGCAGCCCTGCCAGATAAGCATGCACATGGTATCACCTCCAGAGTTTTTAAAACATTCCCATTCCTACAGCTCCAGCTATTTCACCGTGCTAGTGCCCTAGCCTTTGAAAGTCAGAACTGCCCCTAATTAAATCTAAGTGCCAAGAACAGGTAAGAAATAGCAACTGTTCACTCTCCCTTTAGCTCTCTTCTCCAACAAACCACTGGTTTGGAGTACTATGGTCCCTCCTCCTTGGTCTGATTCCCCTGGACCAAAAGCCCTCACTGCAATAACGCAGCAAATAAAGTTTAGCAAGGTGACCACCAGAAGGAGATGCCCTGGCAAGCTGAATTCGTGCAGGTGAAAATAAAAATCACTGCTTACCTGCCTTCCTCTTCATGGAAAATATTTCCTTGAGCATAAACAAACAAAGAGCAAGCCAAGGCAATGGTCCCAACAATACAACCAGCAGAATGAAGGTCACAGAGGCTCCTCCAAACACCATTATCTGAGGAACAAAATAGACTGACAGCAGCTGCAATGTAGCATGAAGTAAACCTACAAATCAAAAATAACTGAGTTGCTAAAAAAGATGCCTCCAGCAAACACATCTTAGGCAGGAAAACGGAATTAAGACCAGCATCTTTATGACCAGGGAAACAAAACAGGATCCAGCATTCATCATGAATGGAAAAAAATCACAAGGCAGATCACAAATTAAAGTTCTCTTAAGCAGGAAGAATGGCCTCTCCATAACTCACAACTATAACTGGATGCTTAGCATGACCCCAGAGGACCACCAGAGTCCAGGGGAGCGAGGCCCAGCTCCCAGCCAGCCATCAGGGGCACTAGAGCAACCACCACACTTCAGGGAACATCTTCCCTCACACTCCCTGATAAGCCTCTGTCTGAGTATTTGCCTGTGATAATGAGCAACGCTGATGACATCTCTGCCTGCAGACTGTTTTTAAACAGAGAAGTACAGATGACGTGAAATATCTGAATGAGGCACAGATTCTTGTTGTTTTCCATGTCTATTCCCAGGGGCTTCTGGGGGAGAGGCAAGCAAACAACATGGGCAGTTCTCGCTGATCTCAGCAATGTCAACAGCAAAAATCGTAACATTAAAAGCAGTCTTTTCTGGGCACTGACCCCTCCAGGCAGGCATTAAAGATCATGAGCTGCCAAAATTCAAGACCTCAGCATGACCCAACGTTGTAATCAATTCCCCAAGTCCCTGAACTTACTGCTGCTTAGCAGAGGCAGAATCTGGATCTTCCACAGACTTCAATGGCAAATACCCCTTAGTCAATTTACATACATGTCCAGTTATACAACAGCTGTGCTATTTTAATCTTTATTTTCCACAGATCCTGGCACAAGTAACAAAAAACTACTTGTGAGTTTAACTTGCAATTTCTTTTGACCAGCCAAATGCCATTATGTTGAAGCTACACCTATCACACAAATAAACCTCCCCTGAAGTGATCAAAACCACAGACAACCAACCCTCATGAATTTTGCCTTTATGAATGCTGTCACTTTATTTGCTTACAGTAGTCAGAATGCTGAGACGGCAACAGTGTGCTTTGTGACAACAGCATGTACTCTTGAAGATTCTCTTTTTTGGCATAAGTGTGGGTTTAGTTTGTTCAGAGTAAGTATTCATCCAGAAAAGATACAGACACTGTGTCCATACAATGTCATTATTTTAAAATTGTTTTTACTGGATGAAAATGCAAGAAAATAATTCTTTATTGGTGTCCTGGACCAAATCTGATCTGACTGATCCTCTCAACATGTGATGTGGCATTAGCCCCCTTAGTGTATGCCATTGGAGATTCAGCCACTGCACTGAAGTCTCTGAACGTCCCCATCACTGCCTGTGTGCTTTGTAGGGTAGCAGTAACGACACTGAACAAGACCTTTAGCTCTTTCAAAGGAAGGTGCAGAGCTCAACTGCTCTTCTATGAGAGAGATAAGCAAAACCACATATTTACAACAAGGAAACAAAGTGAGTTAATGTGCTAATATCAACACCAGAGCCAGGCTCAGAGCACACTCGCAGGCTTGTCCTCCACTCAAGCTCTGAGCACTGCAATCGGGGTGCAAAGGTAAGACCATCCCAGTAGCAGGCCTTTCTGCAGGACTCCTACGCTTACCTGCAGCACATCTAACCACAAGCACTAAACCAATGACCAGATTTTGTAGAAGCAGGTCCCACAGCCTTTTTTCCCCTCAAAAGGGTAGTAGGACAGGTTTGCACACAGCCTGACCTTAATCTGTGACTCAATAAAAACAAATTTTTGAGGGGCAAAATTTGAGCAGAGACTCTGTTTTGCACACCAGCATCATACCTGTTATTGAAGGGTTAATGCCGACAAGCAGTGTCAGGGAAGCTGGCACTAAATAGACAACCTGTTAACGAAACATAAATCTACTCTGTAGAAAACTTACCCTGCTAAGGAAGCAGAAGCGCCCATCCACACCAACACTTTGTCCCTTCGCAGCAGTGGTCAGATGCACAGAACAGCGGCCAATCTCTCCCTCTGGCATGCTCTGGCACTGCTAGTGCTCACCTTCACCCTCACCTCCCAGGACTGTGGCCCAGCTGCCAGAGTGCCAGCTCTTGTTCTTCAGCTTCCGGTTACTGGGCCCTTGCTGGCCAAGCAGGTGCTACCGCACCTCGATCCGCCAGGTAAAGACCCTACGGGAACCCCAAACGCTCTGTCTGTGCTTCCCGGGGTCGCGCCCCCCCTGCCCCCCCCACCCCCCCCCTGCCGCTGTCAGCTGGGCTCACACTCCCAAGGGATGTGCCCCTGCCCCCCCAGCAGCTCCTGCCACCTGCAGAGACATTCCCCCCTGCCCCTCCGCTCCCAGCCCCGTGCACACCGGCCAGGGCTGTTCAGGCGCCCGAGGAAGGGCTGGCAACGTGGGCAGAAAAGGTTTTTCTCTCGGTTTGCCCTCGAGACACCCTGCCGTGCTGGGCGGCGAGAGGCGCGGTCAGGCGG